GGTCGCCTGGCGGGCAACGGGTCGGCGGCCGCAGTCGAGTGCCGGGCGGCGCGTGAACCGGATCGCCGCGACTCCCTCCTTCGCGGTTCCTGACGCAGGTAAGACGCGAGTCCGGGCGGCCCCTGGTCGCACGCGGCCGCCCTCGTTCGGCCTCTGCCTTCCGCGCGCGGGAGCGGCGCTGCGGCGGGCCAGCGGACACGCCTCGCCCACGCTAGCTACAGAAAGCCGCTTCCTGTGCTGGGAGGCTCTCGTGCTTGCGTCATACAACGACCACGAATAAAAACATAAATACAACCACGCACGGAAACACAAACACGCTTCCAGACTCACAAACAAGCGCTAACCAAAGCACAGGCACAGACTTACACAAAAAAGCAACAACATCCAAACACAAACACATTTCAGGGGATGGATTTACTTCACGAAGCAACGACCACAAGAACGCCCAAAGAAGAGGGAGAAGAAGAAGGAACAAGACCATGACTTCCCCGACAAGAAATCGCAAAGGACGAAAGGACGAAGAGATAAAAACCGCCTTGATTCGCTCGTCCTCTCCTTCCCGTGGCGCCGGCCGTCTGGAGCTCGTGTGCGTGCGTGCGTGCGTGAGTGTGTGTGTGTATGCGTGTGCGTACGTGCGTGTGTCTGTGTCTGTGTATAGTACAACTATACTTATTCGCTTTTTTAAAAATCTAGCTTACAACGTGGCTACACTTACAAAAACATGTACACAATCAGAGCCAATCTAAACGACATGCCAAGTGCCTTCCATTCAGAAATTCCTAAATCCCCTAATCGGGACTTCCTCGACGGACCTCAGCCGGCACGTGTGGCAGAAGGCGACGCTGCGGGTGCGGAGAGACAGCAGGAGGACCTCGAGGGGCGGCGTTTCCCCGAGTCGCACTCCAGCTTCAAGTACCATAATCTTATATTCGCTATATATATACTCTCTATCTCTGTCTCTGCCTGACTGTCTGTCTCTGTCTGTCTCTGTCTCTGCTTGCCTGTCTGTCTGTGCGTGTCTTGTTTGTTTGTCTCTCCCTCTCTGTCTGCCTGTCTCTGTCTGTTTGACTTTCTGTCTGTCTGTCTGTCTGTTTGTCTGCCTGTCTGTCTGTCTTTCTGTCTGTCTGTCTGTCTGTCTCTCTTTCTCTCTGCCATCCCCCCCTCTCTCCTTCTCTCTCTCTCTCTCTCTCTCTCTCTCTCTCTCTCTCTCTCTCTCTCTCTCTCTCTCTCTCTCTCTCTCTCTCTCTCTTCTCTCTCTCTCTCTCTCTCTCTCTCTCTCAGTTTCTCTGTCTGTCTATCTCTCTGTGTGTCTGTCTCTCTTTCTGTATCTCCTCTCTCTCTCTTTCTTTCTCTCTCTCTGTCTGTCTTACTCTCTCTCTATTTATCTATTTCTTTATTTCTATCTTCATCTCTCTCTCTCTCTTTCTGTCTGACTCTCTCTATTTATCCATTTCTTTATTTCTATCTTCATCTCTCTCCCTCTCTCTCTCCTCTCTCTCCCTCTCCTCTCCTCCTCTCCTCCCTCTCTCTCTCTCCCTCTCTCTTTCCCTCTCCCCCTATCTTTCTCTGGGTCTCTCTCGCTCTCTCCCATTTCTTCATTTATCTTTTTCCTTCGGCTTCGTCTCTTTCTCCCTTTCCATCTTTCTCTTCGTTCTCCCTCTCACCACCGGAAGCTCCCAAAGCAGCCCAGAAAATGAATTGAAAGAACATAAAACATTTATAGTTTTACATCTTTAAGTTCATAATTGTTCAGAATACATAACGCGACGGTACTGCAGTTCTTGATAATGATATTGATAGACGATTGGTACTCTTGATGTCAATATGTCATTATATTCGAAAACTAACTTTATATAAAACAGATACTCTTGATATCAACATATAATGATATATATTGATATACAGAAATTAATTCTCTTGATATTAATGTTATTATATTCGAAAAGTACCCGTATACATTAAGATTAATTTTCTTAATATCAATATGTCATTATATTCGAAATTTAACTACATTAAAATTGATTATCAATATCAATATTCACAGTGTTGTAAGAGTTAGAGGAAAAAAATAATAACTTTCTTAAGAACCTATAGATATAAAAAAAAAGAAATAATGTATAAGAAAAAAAAATCGGAATTAGATACCGAATAACGAATTAATATCTCTCCTTTTTTTACATTTATGAATCAAAATATATCAATCTAAGTAATTGTTTATTATATTTTGCAAGTGCACGAGAGCCTAAAACGGCAACTTTTAGGAGAGAAAGGAGTCTATGATAGGATTCCTCCAACTCAGGGTGACATCCTTCGGGACCTCTGACGTCATACGTCATCCTCGGTGCGAGTCTCTCCCTTGGGACTCCTTGCTCGCTCCGCAGGTCACTTCTCAGGTCGAGTCTCTCCCTTGGGACTCAGGTCGAGCCTCTTGTTTAGGACTTGTTCCAACTCTCCAGCGCTAACCTGGGACTTTTCATGTCCTCAGAGAGAGCCTCATCCT